ACTCAGGCAGTGTGTGTATATGTAGGTGCATACAAAAATCAGTATTTCTAAATGGACCTTAAATCTTCACCACGCACCTTCTCAGTGCATCCCGAGTTGAGTGGTGAGGACACTGGTAAGAGATCTTGAGATAAGAGCAGGTAGGCAGTCTGAGAGGCAGGTTCTTCACAGCATCTGGATGCGTGAGCGGCCTTGCTGGCTCAGCAGTATATGACTCAGCTTTTAATCCTGCAGTTTCAAAATCCTACAGGAGGAGGTCAGCTGGGAGAAAAGACATTTCCTTGAGCGCTTACAACACCGCTATAATGTGATGTTGTGTGTCCAGCTGAAGAGGGATGTTGGACGAGACAGTCAGTGAATACTTTAAAGAGGAAAAAGTTGTGTTCCAGAAAAGTTTGCAGAGCTAGAGAGGTGAGGAGCTTGGTTAGAGAGATGGTCTTACTGGCAGTGACCAGATAGCGTGGATAGAGGGGAGGAGGCTGTGCTCTGCTAACTGAGCTGGCAGGGGAGTGGGCAAACTGGATCTTACTTAAGCTGTGTGCTTGGAGCCCAGGTCAGTTTGTTATAAGCATAGCGCAAAGCAGGATTTTTCTTGTGTTGGAGTCTGTGTGGATACATCCGCCAGGTCCTTCGTATATACTGTCTTGTCCTGTTAGTGTTCTTGCCCTGGAGGCTCTTACCAGCTGAAAACTCTGAGCTGAGGGATTGCTTCCAAGTTATGTCCCTGCTGATCTTCATCTTAAAGCTCCCCTGTTTGGTTCCTGGTATGAGCCATGAATTAGGAGCCTGGGGAAGGAGGGATGCTGAGGGAGGAGAGGAAACTTGGGTGGGGCTGGCTTTGCCCTGCAGTTCCAACCTTGTGCTTCCTTCCAGCGATCGTATTCCTTGGGTCTGGCTAGCACAGCGATTCTCAACCAGGGTGCTAGGGCACTCTGGGGTGCCACCGGGTCCTTTGAAGGGTGCCTCAAGGTATGAGGCGATGATCCAAGCTGAGGCTTGTCCCTGCCTAAATGACCCTCACCCCTACTGCCCAGGCCCTTGTGTAAGGAGGTAAGCCCTGTAATATAAACACTCGTTTTTTAAATTGAGCGTCATGCAAATAACCAAAGTTATGGAGCTGGGCCTGGAGTCCAATGGGAGGTGCCTTGAGTCTAAAAAGGTCAAGAACCACTGGGTTAGCCTGCCCAAGAAATTGGGTAAACATGTTTGCAGGGAGCCTGCAATGAGCTCTTTGGTGGTGTAGCAGTACTGCTAGCTGTACCTGAGCTCACAAGGTTAAACCTAGCCCAGACATGGCTATGTGAGTTAGTCTTTGCAGGGCAGGTTTACTCTTAGATGTCTTTGAAAGAAAATGTCTGTCTCAGGAAGCGTGAAGAAGGAAGGTAATCAGTGGTCAGAAATGGTTGGTCTGTGCTGCAAGAAATGTGCTTCTGTGTGCGTGAGTCAAGGGTTGTAATTGTGCGTGTACCTCTCACGAGGTTCAGTAAGAACAAGTGCAAAGTCCTGCACTTAGAAGGAAACAATCCCATGCACCAGTACAGGCTGGGGGCTGACTGGCTGGGCAGCAGCTTTGCAGAAAAGGACCTGGGGGTCGCAGTGGACAATAAGATGAATATGAGCCAACAGTGTGCTCTTGTTGCCAGGAAGGCCAATGGCCTACCATGCTGCATTGGTAGGTGTGTTGCCAGCAGATATGAGGAGAGCCTGAGGGAGCTGGTCTTATTTAGTCTGGAGAAGAAAAGACGGAGAGGGGATTCAATAGCAGCCTTCAACTGCCTGAAAGGGGGTTCAGAAGAGGATGGAGCTGAACTGTTCTCAGTGGTGACAGATGACAGAACGAGGAGCAATGGGCTCAAGTTGCAGCAAGGGAAGTTTGAGTTAGATATTAGGAAAAACTTTCTCATGAGGAGGGTAGTAAAGCACTGGAACAGGTTTCCCAGAGAGGTTGTGGAAGCTCTATCCTTGGAGGTTTTTAAGACCCAGCTAGACAAAGCCTTGGCTGGGATGATCTATTTGGGGATGGTCCTGCTTTGAGCAGTGGGTTGGACTAGATGGCCTCCTGGGGTCCCTTCCAACCCTAATTTTCTATGATTTTCTGATAGCCAGTGGGAATGGGAGCACCTGTACCATAGTAGCATATTCACCTAGATCTGATATTAAAGCAGATTTCTCTCCTCTCCTGCCATGCAGATAACTGGCTAGTGCAGTGCCCAGAAACTTTTTTGAGCCATGGGCTGGAACAACCTATGCCCATATGCTGCTGCCCTCTGTGTTAATGCATATACTTGCCTGTAGTGTAGATGAGCACTAATGGTTTGCAGGTCAACCGGCCAGAGCCAGGATTATACTGAACGGCTGTACCTGGCCATTCAGTTGCCTTGCTTTTCTGCGTCCTTTTGCGTTTTCTGGAACTTGGGTTCACTGTGGCAACATCCTTGACTTTCATTAACATGGGGAATAGAAGACCAGTTTGTTTTTTACACTGAGCCACCTAGATCTGGTGGGGAGGGGAAATATTCAGAAATCTACAGATCTTTTTGGTATCCTTTACTAGAGCATTGGAGAATGGGCGTTTTCCACCAGATGAGCAGGTCAGCTGTGTGCAGAAGGGACAGCACACAACCTAAATCCTGTTATGTCACACTTAAGCTTTCAGGCTTAAATCATGTCAGCCGGTTCTTTGCGCAGGGCTGAAATTCAGCCAGCTGGTAAATATTTATCTGAAAAAATTAAATAAGTAAAGGAGCAGTAGATGGTCTGAGCTGACGAACTTCTATGTTTGAATTGTGACATAGGCTCTGTGTATTCCTAGCCAAGTCCTTTAGGATCTGATCCTGCACCACTGCAAGAAGTGCAAGTTCTTCATTGCAGACTTCAGTGGAAACCTGATCACAGCCGTCATCCCTTTTGTGTTTACCACTTATAAGGAATGCGGAGATGTGTTCAGGACATAGACACTTTATAGTTTTGAAGATGACTTAGACGCAAGTGTTATTCCAATTTGTTCTTTGCCAGACTCAGTTGGGGAGTTCTGGTGAAGACTTCTGACATGCTAAGAAATCTGGTCTTTCACAGATGCTACAGAAAGATGGAAAGTGTTTTTTTTAAAACTATGCAAATTTACCACATATTTAATATAATTAAATTAGGGATATCTACCTCAGCCATTCCCAATCTGTGGTATGAGTACCACCAGTGGTATGCAGACAACCTGTCAGTGGTAGATGGCAGCAGCAGATGGGGTACTTGGGGCACTCGTGCCGGGTGGGGTGCAGCTGTGGCCAGCGCTGCATATCTCAGCAAGGGTCGCAGCCTCTACTGGGTCGTCTGTATTGCCAGCGCTCCCTGTGCACATATGCAGCTCTTGTACTTGTTGGGCATGGGAGGTAAGCCCCGCATGCTGGAGGTGGCTGTCTTCCCCACTGGGGCTCTGCGGCATGGGAGGAAAGCCCTAGGCACCTTCCCGTGGCGTGGGGGAAAGGCAGCTGGTTTCAGCATGCGGGGTTTCCCTCCTGTGCCTGGCGAGTTCAGGGAGTGCCAGCAATACAGACTGCCTGGTAGAGGATGCACCCCTCACTGTGATGTACAGCGCTGGCCAGAGCCGCACCACGCCGAGTGCCCTGAGCACCCCTGCCTGCTGCTGCACCATGGGGGTGCACGGGGGGGTCCCCACAGCCCCCCCTTCCTCACACCCCACAAACCCCACACACTCGCACTGCGCCCCACAATCCCCCACATATATACAACTCTTATAGGTGTTCCAGGTCTTGTTGGAAGGATTTCTGAAATAATTTAGGACAGAGGGAGGATTATGGCATATCTCCTGTTCTCCCAAAAAGCTAATTCATGATGGCTAGAAAAATCTAATCAGTGAATTCTTTGGTTCTCTGTTTTAGGTGTACTGATTCTTTTGATGCTTTAGACTTTCAATTTGGACTAGAGATGCCCCCAAATGTAACTGATTCTTGTGAACTGTATCACTTCTGGTGAGTGACCAGTCCTCCCAAGGGTGTCCCTATCACAGAGGCGGCAGCGGGCAGACTTGCTTTTCTTCGGTAAATTCCTCAGTATGAGAGAGGATACAACGGTCATCTCCCCCTGTTGCAGGGGCCAAGTCCCAGCCCCTTGTCTGTGCTGGGTCGCCTTGCCCTGACCTTGCAGGGGCCTTCTGGGATTCCAGGAAATGGCAGGTAGTGCCAGCGAGGCAGCTAATCCCAGGCTAGGTGGGAAGTGTGAAATTAGCTCGCTGTGCTACTGAGGCATTTACACTCCCCTAAAAAAAATGTTACCTCCTCCCCCGGACACTTCCCTGCTCCTCTTTTCATGTGTGCATTTCTTTTCTTACTGTTTCCAAACTGCCCTATCTCTCCATTCTTGTCTCTAGAGAGGCTGCTTGAAAATTTCAGTCTTTTTTTTACTGGAGTGGAACAAAGGACGGTGCAGTGCGCCTTGTGTTCAGGATTTCGAGTACTGAGATCCCCATTGTGCCTTCTAGTTGTAAATTTGGGGCATTTATGTTGGGGGGTTTTGGGGGGTTTTTGTTCATTTGTTTTGGTGTTTTTGCTAGCAAATTGATTGCAATCCTGTAGCACTCTGCCATAGGACAGAGTTGGAACTATAAATTCCAGGGCAAAATTTCTACCTTGATTGTTCGTTTGTTTATTGCGAATGAAAATAAGTTTATTTGAAATACTTCCAGCAAATGAAAAGTGCAGTTTTGTGGAAAATGAGTATTAAGGAAGACCCCAGGTGCTATTCAAGTGGCCCACAATATTTTAAATAAAATGCAGTTATGAGGCAGATGCATTCTTTTGTTGTCATTGTTGGAGCAGAAAAAGAAAAAGATTTTCTTAAACATAAAATTTAAACTAGAGAGCTGAGGCTCCAAAGAGCTTTTTATGACAATTCAGCGTTTAGAATTTAATCAGTTTAAAGTGCAAACTTGCTGCAGTCTTGTAGCAGACAACAGCCTCAATTCTGTGTGTTTGATTCTCTTTCAGGAAATTGAGAATGGGCCATCAACAATGCTAGGTCTACAATGGGAAGTGTCACACTTCGCTATTTCTGCTATGGGTGCCTTTTCACATCTGTGACCTGGACGCTTCTGCTCTTTGTGTATTTCAACTTCAGTGAAGAAACCCACTCTTTCAAGAATGTGCCCGTCAAGGGGCTGGAACCTCAAAAGCCAATTCCTAAAAAATTCTATCCCCGGTTCACTCGGGGTCCCATTCGCAAACCCGAGCCACAGAAGAAAGGAGGCAAGATAGGGAATCCATTGGGGAATCATGAACAGGACCCAGTGAAGGGAGACATAGATTTTTCTCCTGAAATGGGTAAGTGGGCTGGGTGGTCTGCATTACCAGTGACAACCACAGCTTAATAAGCCATAAGGTGTGAGAGAAACGTGTCCTTAAGAGAAGGTACATTTTCTGTTTGTCTTGGTAATGGATTAGACTTCAAGTTTATTCTCTTATGATACATATTTTTTTGGGGGAGGGGGGTCTCAAATGCTGAAGGAGAGAACAACCAAACTATGTTAAAGGTACAAGCCTCAATATAACTCCTTATATTTGGGACTATTAATGGAGTTCATGTGGCAATTTACTTTAAGAAGGTGATTGAGTTGAAACTTGAAATGTTATAAGCTGAAGAGAAACTCAATCCATTCGCAGTAAAAAAAAATAAAAAGCATTTAAAAGCATTCCAGTTTGATAAATACAGAATGAAGAGGTCTGCTATCATGAGAATATAGAAGTACAAAATGATGTTTGAAAAGGGGTTGGACAATACTGAAGGATTTATTCAGCTGACAATAATTAGGACCACATCCTTCTTGCTTTACTTCAGTAATTAGGTCTCATGATTTCATGAGACCTGTTCCTACATGTGAGAAAAGCATGACTTGGCCTTCTTGTTCTTTTTTGAGGACATTTTGTGTATTTATCTCTTAACCGATTTTTCTCCTCCATTTCTCAAATACAACGACAAAAATCACACAGTTGGCATGTTGAATTAAAATTGGTTGTAGGACTGGAAGGAAGGTAATGCAGATCATAGTTCCAGTGTCTTGACTACTTCCACTGAAAATATTGTATAACACAGCAGTCTGTCTAGCACTGAATTTAGTACTTTAATCACTAGCCCCCATATGCTTAGTTAGTTCACAGGGCCATGTCAGCTTCTTACAAGTCTCTACCAAAGTCAGTCTTGTTCATAGGCTCATATTAGTAGCTAGAAAGTAGTACACCTTCCAGAATGACCTGTTGACTTGTTAATGCTGGGGGCATGCAAACATTTTATTATCTTGCTGTAACCCCAATAAGAGCTAGATGCAATAAGTCCAGAGGTGACCATTTATTTCTATGTATTCGCTACTAGCCAGGAAAGGAATTGGAAAGTTTCAGTAGAAAATCCCCCGGATCTTGGAACTTAGTGACTGGCTGGGGTGGGGGAAGCCAAACCTGGAATATATCCTAAAAATAAAGAGTTAGACACAGCTGGGCCTCTGTTAGAACTGGGCCTGCTGTCTGTTCAGGGCAGAGCAGTGAAAAATGTGCTATCCTGTAAAGTTGAATAAAAAAAAGCATATTGTGGCAGAAAACAGACCATCATCTGGTAGAATAATTTACTTTTTTCTTATAAATTTGTGAAATGTATATGTATAACCCTGCTGTAATAAAGGGTTAGTTGATGTTTCCATTGCGGACATAATTTTCCAGGGACCTAGAACCACTGCTTGGACTGGAATTTGCCCTGCACGTCAGTGGCCTGCTTGCAATTCCCCAAAATGAGTTGAAAAACATTTTATATTAGTTGGCCTGAGTTTAGAAGCTGGGGAATAATGTTCAAATGTTTGGGTGTGGATGGTTTTTCAAACAAAACCCAGCAGAGTTTGGCATAAATCTTTCCACGCTGTGGTCCCTAAAGCAGAAGAGTGAGACAGGGCTACTGGCAGACTACTGGGGCACAGAGTGAGCGAGCAAGACTGAGCTTGGAGCCTCTGGACAGGCCATAATCGGAAACATTTCTAAGGAGGTGCATGCAACGTGAAGGAGGTCTTTGTGCTACCTTATTGGAGGCCTTGGCTACAAAAGGAAGGGACTTGACACTGTGAGTTGTATCCCTAAACTCTGTTACTATTGACTTGTCCATATGTGGGTTTGATCTACCATGGTAGCAACATTGCTATGTACACCGTGCCATCAGACTACGCTGGTGTAAAGTCTGGCTATTACTCCTCAATGGTACAGGTGCATTATATTTTGCTGGGGTTCTCACCAATGCAGCCATGTTGTTAGAGATGCCCTCTTGGCTAAGAGCTGCAGTGTGGAAAAGGTATTCAAGCATTTGCATGGATGTGCACAGCTTGTTCCAGCTCTCTGGAGGGGATGTAAATCCCAGTATAGTAACTTGAGTTGCCCTGGCACCCCTGAGCTCTGAAGGGAGATGAAGGCCTGCTTTGTAGTCGGCACCTTCCCAAAACACTTACTGTATTTATTTGAATCCAAGACAGCCCTGAATTTAAGACAGCCCCTGGTAATTAGATTCCATACATGGAAAATTTTATAAATTTGTTATAATTTTCCATGTATAGACTCTAATTATTGACAGTTTGTCTTTAATTCATACCCCCCACTGCTGCAGTGGGAGGGCAAGTGGTGTGGGGAGGTCAATCAGCTTGCCCCCTGCTTGTGCCTGTCTTCCAGCCCCCTTCACTTCTTCCCCCTGACAGCCTTGGGCTCCCCCAGCCTCTGCTCCCCCTCTTGCCTCTTCATCCCCCTTCCCATCTCTGTTCTCTGCTCCCTCTCCTCACTTTCCCTTGCTCCCTGCCAGCAGGCTCCATCCCTGTTCTAGCCTGGGGCATGGGGCTGCAGCCATGCTTAGCCCCTGTAGCAGCTGTGCAGGCTGGGTGCTGGTGCTACAGGGCTGGGTTGGTGCTGTGCTTTGTGACCCAGGCTGCAGCATGGATGGAGCCTGCTGGTGCAGAGCAGGAGTAGGAGGGGAGGGAGAGCGCCAGGCAGAGGAGCAGATGCTGCATGGGGGGAAGTTGGTGGGGTGCAGAGGTGTTGGGGGCTGGGCAGGCAGGCAGCAGCTACAGCTATGGCCCCAACCCCAAGCCAGAGCAGCTGCCTGCCCCTCCTCTCCCAACACTCATACTTGACTCTAAGCAGAGGGGCTTTCCCCTCTCCACCTTGCCTTGGGGGAGGAAACCTCATCTTAGACTCACATAAATATGGTATTTAGTTTGCATTTCTCTACCTGTTTAGCACTTTCCCTTCTGAATTAAGTCCACCTGATTAAGTCCTGAATTAAGTCATGGTGGAGAGGCTGCAAAGTGCTTTAACTTGCCTGGCTATTGCATATTTCTCTGAAGCAGGATAATCTCAGATGTTTTGCAGCAACTGAATTTAAAGCTTTTTTTGACCCTAGACTTTTTACATGATGCTACGGGGGAAAAATACCTGACTGGATCTTTTAGTTGGAAGCTTTGCACCAAGGACTCAATGAAATTGCATCTGTGGCTTTGGCAGAACTTAGAGGCATTTGGGACAGGAGCAGGAGCATTTCAGTTGTTTGGCTGGATGCTACGTTAAGCAGAGGTATTAAATTCAGCTGCCTACACAGAATCAAGGGCGAAGATGGAGTGTCCCTTGCTGTAATTGTTTCAAGCCCCCAAGAAATTAAGGAAAGTGGATCTTTTTGTTGTTCTTTATAACTGCCTCTTCCAAGCAGGGGACAGGAAAGCCCAAGAGTAGGTTGTTTCTGTCCCACTTATGACTGTGGCTTAGGGAAAAGCCTGGGCAAAAAAGGTTGGCATTTAGGGCTTCACCTTTGCTTCTAGTAGAGTACTTACTGAAACTGGCAGTGGTTCCTTCCATTGCACACAACAGTGGCTGATTGTGCTACAAATTAATTTGCAGGACAAAATAGCTAGCTCAGTTGCTAATGAACTTGGTGTTAACAGCCCAGGTTTGACTGATAGGAGCAGTTGCTGCTTTTATAGCTGCTGGTTTGCTCTTTGGATGCTCAAGGAAGGCTGAGCTGTTGAAACCTTGTTTGGAACGTTTTTCTTGTGCATACTTTATTGCTATAGAAATACATGCTGTGTCAAACCTCAGTTTGATGTAGGTACTGACTTACTTTGCCAAGTGGGCTAGACTTGGGCTCCAAGTTGCCTGACACCCATTTTTTGTACTGAGTTGAAAGGGGGAAGGGAACTTGTAGGGGAAAGAAATAAGGACAACAAAGCCACCACCTTGGGTACATGTTACATTCCCCAGTTAGTCTCTTTTTCTTACCCCAGGCACGGCTGTTCTTTGATTTTTCTGCTCCTCCCTCCTCCCCAGTGTAGAGTAGACACAATATTTAAACAGAAACGTGCTTTTAAAACAGGTTAAAAAGAATAATTTGTAGAAACACAGTGACTACTAGGCTATAGTATGAATTAAATGTTTCATTTCAGTACTTGATCATTGCTAAAGGACATTTTTTTGCTCCTTTGAACTGATTTCGGCATGTTTCTGTTTCAGGCATGATTTTTAATGAGCATGATCAGGAGGTGAGAGACTTGGGCTATCAGAAACATGCCTTCAATGTGCTGATCAGTAACCGGCTGGGATACCACAGAGATGTGCCAGACACCAGGGATACAAAGTATGTTCTTTATACCATGTTCCCTATACATTTGAGGCATTGAAAGCACAACATTATGCTAAATCGTGAGGTTGTTGATTAAATATTTGGCAGCTGTACATCTGATAGATAATGTTTTTCAACATATCAGGTACCACTGAAGGCAACATTTTTATCCTTTAATACTTGCAGCTGGATGGCTTGAGGTGATGCTTTTAAATCCTAGGGTAACTTTATTTTAATACTGTTCAAAATTGCATCTCAGGAGGCAAGCTGAAGGGGATGATGATTGGAAAATCCTAACAGATGAGGTCACGTGAGAGTCTGACACCACCTTAAGGCAGTTTGCCTGTGTCTCTGTTGCGCGTGTGATTCTTTGAGATCAGTTCCAGAAACTTTGTGTCTACATAGATCAGCTCACAGAAGTCTCTTTGAATCACAGTATACTTTCAAAGGCATATATATATGTACAGTAGAATTCATACAAGCTAATGACAGCTGAACAAATTAAAGGACTAAAGCAAAAAATGTTTCAGCCTTCAGATGTTAGGCAGAGGATTGCTTAGATTCGAATATATCGCACAATATATCCTGTTCAAATTAAATGCAAACAGCCACATGGGAGACCCAAGCTAAAATGTATTTTAAAAGAAATCTAAAAGCAAACCCCGATTCATGTTCCAGATGCTTTGAAGTGCTTCTAGTTCCTCTGAAAATCGGAGGCTTAAGGATGGGGATAGGTAACTGGCAGAAAAGTGGGCTTTTTGTGTGTCCCTTTCTGAAAATGTTGCACTTACATCTAGAATGTATTTTCTAGAGTCCATTACACAATTAAACAGTCACTACAACAACCCCTCCCCCCAAAAAAGAAAGAAAGAAACCACTATACTAAAAAGAGAAATCTGTGACTTGTTTCTGTTATGGTGGCTGCATTATTGGTTAAGGTAATAGATCATCCTTGCCTGAGTGCAGATATTTCCCAGCAGCTGACTTGATTTGATCTGATGTAAAAAGACCTTTTGATGCATTACACTCTTAGATTTTAATGTCAATGGGTCCCTCACTTCTGGCAGCTTACTACAGATGTCAGTTGTGATCCTGTCCTAGGAGCAGGAATTAAAATGGGCAAATAGAAGCAGTCACGTTCTTGCTGTAAGACTGTCAGTGCCATCTCTGACTGCAGTGCCTTTGGAAGCTGACCCATAGGGTTGTGTGCCCTCACAGCAGCTTATAATACATTTTCCACCAGGTAGCAGCAAGCCCCATCTGAGGTTCTGAATTGCATGAGCTGTAGGTGTGAGCATGCTGTGTACTGTTTTGAGCCTTGATGTAATTAGGTTAATGTTGTTATGTAATTATGGGCATGTTTTAGTATTACACTTAATGCACAGGACCAGCTTCTAATTCAATATTAGCACTGTTATTTATGGAGCTTAGTAAGGCTCCACCAGCCCTGTGCAAAGCTGTGGTGAGAACAAGACTTAATGAGTAACAAATACTACATCATTTTTCTTTGCAGATGTAAAGAAAAGTCCTACCCTTCTGATCTACCTTCTGCTAGTGTTGTTATCTGTTTCTACAATGAAGCACTTTCTGCCTTGCTTCGGACAATACACAGTGTCCTGGATCGCACGCCATCATATCTTCTTCATGAAATTATCCTGGTGGATGACAACAGTGAATTTGGTGAGAGACCACCTCTGGGCTTGCAGCTGCTGGTGGTACTTAGCTTTCTTTTCGCAATGGTCAGTAAAAGCACCTGATAGACCAGTTGGGCTTTTAGACTTCACTCAGCCCAGCTAGAGTTAACTGTTGATACCCACAGTAGTGGGAATTTAAGCAGCTGGGGCCAACTGAGCTATGAATAACACTATGACAATATGCGTGAAGGCTGGCCCAGCACGCTTCGTATTTGGAGCGGGCTGTGCTGATGTTCCAAGGATGCATTCTTTAGGCCAATGCCTTCCATAAGCACTACTGAAACAAATTTGCACAGACACAGTGCTGTGCTGCTGTCTTGTTTCCTCAGTCAGAGTTGATGGAGCGCTATGGAAATAGTGAATTTGCTGCCACCCACCTCCCAGCTTGGCAGCTAAGTGGCAGCATGCTGCTTGGGAGCAGAGCTCAGCGTGGGAGTTCAGAGCACTGTGCATTGCTCTTGGATAGCCCCTTGTGGCTCCCCCAGAGAAGCTTTTGCTGGCTCCTGATGGAGCAGCATCCAGCTCTGCAGTTGGAAAAGGATTGGACAGACTGATGGGGCCTCAAAAAGGGGTAGATTTCAGAAGGAGCTTTCAAATGCTTGTCTGTGGTTTGAAGATCATGTGCTCCAGCTCTTTCTTTACCACACTGCAAATCAATATAAGCTACTAACTTAGAAGCATTTTGGCGTTTGAAAAGCTAAACACCAGTTGAGAAGTAGGTCAGTGTAACAGAAGCGGCAAGCAGGATTGTTCAAGCTTCCTACTCTCTTGCTGTATAAACACTCACAGCCTTCTGCATCTCTTTCATTAGGTCCTTTTTTTTTTGGTCATATATTTTTAACTGTCCCATCATCTGATTTCTGGGTTAAAACATCATTTGTTCTGTTAGGCCAATTAGGTATGTATAATTTAGAAAGAATTTCCTTTGTTCTTACAAAATGAATTTGCTTTTGTTAGGTCAGATCAAATATTAAAGTAGGGGAGAGAGCACTAGGATTAAACACACTGTCCCTTGCCAGCAAGCATGCAGAATGCTTAAATGCTTGTTTCATCATCATGCTCCTGAGGTTTAGAAGAAGTATGTATTCCCTGCCACAAAGTACTTGGCACAACTTGTTGCTTTCAAGTTGCACAGCCTTTAAATACCGCATGAAACTTGCTTCAAAACCATGTCTTTTAAGTACCTTGTTGGCTTAACACGAACATCCTGCCATGTTAACCAAGCCTCAGACTAGGAGGTTGCTATTTTCAAAGCCAGGTTAATCTCAATTCCTTAATGTGGTCATGCTAAACTTTCTAATTTTAAACCTGCCCAAGATAGTTAGAAAATGGAGCAAAATTTCAGCAGTCAAAGAATTACCCCTTTTCTGGATTGATACTGAAAAAATCTAATGTTTACACTGGTTTGCACTGAAAAAGTTTCATGTGTCTGGCTTTGAAACTGAGGTATTGGACCAGGGTTTCAGTCCTGTTCCTGCCAGAGATTTCTAATGTGACACTAGGCAAATTGTTTAAACTTTCTACACCTCTGTTATCTCCCTGTAAACCAGGAATAGTACTTTCTCCTTCCATTTTGTCTGAGATACTGTGCACTTTTTGAGTCCTGTCTCAGTATTTACCTTTATGCTCCTAGTCCAGAGAAACCCTGGTAGTGGATTGAGGCTTGTGAGTAGCACTGTAGTAGAAACTGAGCTGAATTCTGGATGAGAGAAGAGGATAGAAGTGTTCAGGTAGCTTTTGGTATTTGTTGATTAGGGGAAAATCAGTTTTGCTAGGCTAGCTGCAAAATGGGTGTCTCTGAAATGTCTGCATTGCTGCATAGCTTCTGAAGCTGGTGTCAGAAATTCCTTTTTTGCTATCTCTCTGATGATAAACTAGTGCCTTTATGGATATGTGTAGTTTTGTCCTCCTTATTCATATTATTAGCCTATTAATGGGATTAACAACAACTTTGAGAGCATAGCTGGCAAACAGCTCAGCATCTTATTATTTATTCCAAAATTTGCTCAAATTTTTCTAAATATCCTATGGCCCTTTCCTTGTACCACCCTAAGTGTTTTTTTTGTTTTTTCTATGGTTTAACTTATTTGCACCAGTATCATGTCTCTGCTCCGTGGTTCCTATTTTTCTAGTAGTAGGTCCTCAGCAGTTCCTTCCCTTCTCCGTGACAGCAGCCTGCTGCTTGCTTTACTAGTGGATGAAAGAGAGAGTGCCTGAGACAGCACTTGTGACAGTCATTAGTATTATGTGTACTACTTATTAGGTATTAATGATCTCTGCTAGTCTTCAAAAGCAGTGCCTTTGATCCTCCTGGAGGTCTGGCAAGGTGGCCACCTGTGAGCTGAGTCCTCAACTAATTGGCTACATCTGATGTTAAGCATCAATCTTTTTTTCTTGAAAAGTGGAGGAAAAGCTGTACCCAGACTTTCATTAGTTGGACCTGTTTAGTTGATTAAAAGATGTTTTTCCCCTTTGAAAATATTAGTGTTTACTCTAATGTGATGTATATCCTTTTCCTTAAGGAATACTGTTGATTTTAATCTCACAGTGTATGTTCCCTTTTACCTACAAGTAAAAGATTGCTACAGTGGAAAGGGCTTATAGAGAAAAGCACCGCCCCCCCTCTCCTTCATTCCCAACCAGTGTGTTATTAATAGCAGTAATATCCCTGTTATAGTGCTTTAGGACTCTGTTCATTGGCCAGGACCCCATTGTGCTAAGCACTGTATGAAGGCAGAACAAAATTATGATCCCTCTCCCAAAGATCTTACAATCCAAGTAGGAAACAAGACAACCTGTATCAGGCTAGACAGCTTAGGGGGCGGGGGGGAGGGAGTGGCTGGGACATGGTCATATCGAGACAGTACTGGCCAGCATTGTAAGCGGTGAGATGGACATGCTGCAGTTGGTCAGTTCCCAAGTTATTTTTTGGGAAAGAAATACGTAATAATATTGTACAACTAAAAGTGTAGGCAGAGGGGCTCAGGCTATGGGTAGTACCTGGAACAAGATCCATTTTTTGGTATTAAATAGATTTGGTGTGAAAGTTTTGTCCTTTAACATATAGAGGAAAGCTTCTAATAGAGCTTTCCATGTGTGTATATGTGTTTTCAAAGTGGAACTGCAGAGAATCTGTTGCAAAACTTGCTTCTAATAATTGTATATTTTCTCTTTCAGCTGATCTGAAAAAAGACCTAGATGAATATGTTCAGAAAAACCTTCCAAAAAACACCAAGCTGGTAAGAAATGAAAAACGTGAGGGTCTGATTCGAGGAAGAATGATTGGAGCATCTCATGCTACAGGTATGTCCCATCTTTTGCCTCCATGTGTGCAGATAGCCCCCTTGGTGCAGGCACAACCCATCTATCCAAGGCATCTTTGACCAATTACATATGGTAATCCTCAGAATTGCTTTTTAATCCTCTACAGGGGCTGCTGTGAGTGGTACAAAGCACCTCCAGTGGATGGAACTTATTGCCCCATACAACGGACCCTAGATGTCCAGGAGAGTAAGGACAGGGAATCCTAGGCCACGTACAGACATTTAGTTTCTTTTGGGCAAGTTGCTGCTGTCCCAGGAGAAACTATGAACATTCAGATGTTCAATATTTTTTTCCCAGAGCAGAAATGGCTGCTCCCTGAGAAATAACCGGGGAAAACCCAGGGTTAAACACTCCAGGAAGTGCTTCTATACAACTTGCCCTTCTGAGAGAAGCCACAGCACAGTCCTTAAGCATCCCAAGATGCTTTCCCCCACTCTTCCCCTCTTCTCACCCTGCCCCCCCCGAATCAGTGTCACTTATTGAACTCTTCTGTTCCAGCCAAGCAGGCAGCAGAACGCATCCCCTTCACAATCCCACATTGTGCTGCAGGGACACATGGGCTGGCTCTGAAAAGTCTGAGTCAGCCAGTCAGTGCTGCCTTGTGCTCTGCTGCTATCTGTCACCAGGTAGACTGAGGGAGCCTGCAGAGCATGTTGCACAGCATCAGCACTTCAGGCTCTTTGGTCTTTAGGGAGGTCAGCATTCAAATGTTTTCTCATGGGTCTTGGTATATTTTACTATCAGGAGAACAAATTTGGGAGAGTTCTTCCAAATCATTTGAACATGTGTATGCAGCCCTGCTCAACTCCTATACATGGGCAATTCAGAGCATGGCCATTTAACCATCAACTTGTTATTCACTGCTTTGTATAAAAAGACATTTAAGTTCTTAACAATTTAGCTGAAAATCCCTAAGCTGTTTTAGGACTCATTTTTTCCCCTACAAAATGTATCAGTGTGTGATCCCACTATTTCCTGTTTATTTGGATGTTCAGGCATTCAGAATTTCCTAATCCCAAGTGCATCTACAGGTTTAGCTCTTTTTCTGATAAAGCTGTGCCTGCATATGCGGTGGCATTTAGAGAATACCTGTCTATGGTTAATAAGAGACTTTGCTGTTGCATGTTAGCTCTCTGTGTATCACAGGTTTCATACACACACACACACACACTTTTTTAGCGCCAGTTACTCGTTAATCTGTATCAAGTCCTATCTTGTCTCTCCTCAGTAACTTCTCACCTGAGGTTTTTTTGTTACCATTACAACAGTTAGCTGAGATGGAGCATATATGGTATACATCTAGGTAGGAAACGGGAGGTAATATGCACCTTGTAGACTAACTAAATAAGATATGAGCACAAGCTTTCATGAACCTGAATTCACTTCATTGGATGCCTTCTGCCTGACTTCAGACTAACACGGCCTACTACTTCTCTCTGTTCATCAAGGTATCCAATGTGCATTAGACATTTATATACTTTGGATGTAAAATTTTGGCATCTGAAAAACTGACATAATAAATGGAAGAATTCAGGAAGGAGAAGCTCTGAGATTTAAATGGCTTCTAGATGCAGATATTCCTGTACTTGACTCAGTTTTGCATACTAGTTCTAGATTAGGAAACAATCTTACCATAAAAAATGGATAAAATTTGCATTGGCTTAGCACTGAATTGATTGACATTATAATTGCCTTATTCTAAGATGTTTATGAATTTCTTTTTTGCTAAGACAAGAAATGTAATTTGTGAGGGACTTGACTATTGTTTGTTATTTTTTTTGTATATCTGATTCCATAACCAGCTGGTCATAAGAAAAATGGTGACAGACTGTACTTTCCTAAGAGTCCATATGACTCTGCTAGTTTTCCTACACGTCAGGGTTTTCAGGCATGGAGAAATGAAGATTGATTGATTGATTTAGGCTAATGAGAAAAATAGATTGGAACTGTCAATCCAGGCCACAGTCTGAATATAGCTGCAGTGCACCTTGTGTGTTAATTCTTTTTCCTCCCCTACATAGGAAACACAAGGCACAAATAAGATTAGTTGCTGCTTAACAATATCAGGTCAGCCTGCCCTCCTTACACATGACTGTTTAAATCCAGACAATGTCAGTTGATTTCAGTGGATTTACCTTGTGTAAATGAAAGTAGTTTCTGCCCTTGCATCATATAATTAAAAAAACCCCAAACCTGAATATGGGGCCAAATCCTGTGTAGCCCTTTATATTTTATCAAAAGTGGAAGTGATAAAGGCAGTCACATCTTCCATGAGTTTTAGTTTCTGTAGTTGAATTTGCAGTGATTGCAAAGAACAACAGTAGTTGATAAAAAAATTTAATGAAACAGTGCAGCATTTTCCTTTTCCCCATCTCAATACATTCTGGATTATGCAGAACATTTCATCTCTGCACACTGACAGCTGTTCATCTACCAGGTATTGTGCTTTTTCATGATAGCAGTTCAAAAGAACTCTAAGCAAGCTGCTGTTTCTCATGCATCACTGAACTGCTTCTCACCTGAGGCTTTTTTGTTATCATTACAACAGTTAATTGGGATAGAGGATTTCTGGTGCTTTATGTGCCCAGAGTGCATTTTTATTGCTATCTTTATGGATAAATTCTTTGGCATGAGAAACTGTGTTGCCAGACAATTTTGAGCTGTGGATAAACTCTTCTGAATTGGTGGCTTTACTCATTAGCATAGTAACAGAAACAAAATCATGGTTTAACTTCCTAGACTGTGTTGGTTTAGCAGTGAATTGACATAATTGCTTTATTCTGAGCTGTTTATGAGCTGCTTTTTTACAAGGTCCGGAAATAACCTGCTGTTAATGAAGGACTTTAATGTTGTTTACTACCTTTGTACAGCTGAGATTTTATACCATGCACTCCAGGGTGATCTGTTCTCTCCCATATCTCTGCAGTTATTCCAATCTTGCATCGACTCTGCTCTCTAATAAAACTTTAGAATAATTTTTACACAGATTAAACCTGGTAATCACTTCTGCCATCTGCAGGCCATGTTTTGCCATCCCTAATTAGGTTAAGTATTTCCATGCATGTTAATGACCCTTCTCAAGGAATGTGGCTGTGTTTTTAACATAAGTCTGGAAGAATCTGACCTTAATAATATAGATCCTGACAGTGCTGTTGCCTCAGCAGAAATCAGAAATAACTCAACTGAAGTTAGTGCATTAAACCATTGCTCTAATGGTAGGTTGTAGGAATTACTGGGTGAAGTGTTATGGCCTATGTAGTGGAGGGCATCAGACTAGATTATCACAATGACCCCTTCTGGCTTTAAAGTCTGTCTGCGTTATGTCAATGCAAAGCGGGGCTACAATTTGAATTCATTGAACTGAAGTCGTCTCTGTGTACTGGTTTCCTATAACAATTCTGCGCGCAAAGGATGTTACAACTAAATCTGGCTAAGTCTGCACAGAACTGTCAAAGGAAATGCCGCGAGTACTTACCTGTTACAGCAAAAAAAATGTTAATTTTGTGGGCCTGGATGAGTTTGACACCCCTGCTTTAGATATCCCTCTTCATATACGCTCTCTAAACAATCCACTCCTGCAACTGGGAGAGACAGGATACTGGGGTAGATGGAAAATTGTTTTGACCTAGTAAGGTACTTACATTTCATGCACTTATCAGAACCTATAGTGGGGCTTGACACCTCTCTGCCTTTTATCCGCAGTCAGCAATCCCCACAGATCATTTTGCTGAATCACTAAAGCCCTAGCATACCATTTGGAGCCTATTGCTTCTGTCCCTGTATTGGCTTACAATTGATTTCAGGGTCTTTCTTTCCTGTGGCTATTTGTCTATCACTTTTTCTCAATGTGATGTTGTTTCTTGAGGATAGATGTGTAAGTATATTGTGGAAGTTGAGTGGAGAGAGTCCCCTGAGCTTTGTCAAAGTTGTGAAGCACTTTTTGAACAAAAGGAAAATATCTGCAGTAATGTCTCTGTCCAGCTCTTCCTGAAGTCGGTACAGAGATGCTTTCAGTGCAAATTAAGACTTGCCTGAAACAAGAGTGTTCTTGCTCACAATTGGGAGCCCAACTGCTTCCTTCAGTGTTACTGCACGTTGCTTCTCTCACTCTGCACAGTATATGTGGAAGCATAGATGACTTTGAGGTCTGTGTTGTGGCGTATAGCAAAGTATTGGGATTTTTTTGTATTTGCCTCCTTCAGGCTTCAAGATACACTGTTGACTGGCGGTATATGCAAAGACCGACTGTCAGAGATTTATTTGAAAATTGCATATTTCCCTCAAAAGTTTGTATTTAGTATCATTTGTATAGGCACCTCTAAAAGTACTTCTGCCTTTCTGATAGAACATATCCCAGTAGATATTTTTTTCTTTGTTTAAATTGTCAAGTCTTCTGGGCAGTTTTCCATCTATTTTGTTTGGGGTTGAACATACAATAATTTGGTTGTAATAGAAGTGTGTTGTATATACAGTGTTATCACAGACCTGAATGTGTTCTCATCTTTTCAGGAAAAGTGCTGGTGTTCCTGGACAGTCACTGCGAGGTGAATGAGGTGTGGTTGCAACCTTTACTGACTCCAATCGGAGAAGATCGCAAGACAGTGGTGTGCCCTGTGATTGACATAGTCAGCGCCGATACACTTACCTACAGTTCTTCTCCAGTTGTGCGTGGAGGGTTTAACTGGGGCCTGCACTTTAAATGGGATCTTGTTCCTTTGTCAGAACTAGAAGGACCCGAGGGAGCTACTGCTCCAATCAAGTAAGATTTGCATTACTTGTGAAGGAATCTATTGGTTACAAGTGACTTTTTGTGATAAAGAAAGATAATTTCTTAAGCATTATGGAGTAAATGTGGATATGCATCTTTAAAATCAGAGCTTAAATTACAAAGTATCTGTCTTGTTCATTTTTACTGAATTACCTTGGAAAAGATTAAACTTAAGAATCTTAACAGAAAAAGCCATCTTTAGCCAATATATCTGCCATGTAATGGCAAGAAAAACACATTTTTAGGGAATGATTGATTATACAGTATTGTATTTGCCATGGTATTCCACAAACATCATTTTTTACAAGTTATTGTAGATGTGTACTATGCAACAATTTTACATTTTGTTGGTGTGTCTTGCTTTATTGGTGTGTGTGTGTGTGTGTGTGTGTGTGTGTATAGGGGGTGTGTGTGTGTCCGGTCTTAGTGCACATGAATTAATAATGGTGGTATTGATTTTTCACTTTCACAATGACACTCATCTGTATATCCCAATGGCATCTTTCTCCAGAATGGCCTTGACCAGTTAGTAATAAACTGCTAGCTTTAGGACATTCCTCTTGGTAAAAGAAGACAAGTGCCATAGCTGATAACAGAAAAACTATTACAGCAGTTCTCCAAAAAGCTTTTCTGTCCCATTTTCATTTTAGTCTGTCCAGATTTTCAGACTTTTTTTCCCCTCCTGGACTGTTGTTTATGTAAATTTTCTACTTCAATGTTCATGGATATGAAAGCTACCTCAAAATATTAGTCATAGCCTCATGCTTTGTGGTGAATATCTGAAATAATTAATCCTGCCTGGAGTCAACTCTGAATTGGAGCAGTGATCACACAGAGTGCTTGAAAGGAGTATTTTTCAAAGCAAAAAACTAAGTTAAACTGAGCACTAGGGCTTGGAGCACCTTCTTGGATCTTTCAGTCAGTGGCGCTCTGGTGACCTATATGAAATTTGGCAATATCAGTTTAGTCCCTATTTTAGATCAGTAACCAGACCATTAAATGGCCACCCTATTAGAAACTGTATCTTAGCAGAGGTTGCATTAACTAGGTTTGGAGAAAGAGAGGGTCATTCTTTTGAGGAGAGGCCTCCAGTGACAAAGTTCAAGTTGTCGGAGCAGTTTGGAGAGGCTAATACTGTTGCACGTTTTCTTGTTAGAGGTCCTCAGTTTCTCAGGTTCATAACTGAGCACCATTTCCTGGCATCAAGACTTCATAAAATGAAAACACTTAAATCTTCTGAAAGTAATTCATGTATTTATTGCGGTATGTGGTGCTTTGTTGGTTTTTCTTCCAGATGGAGCTTGAAACCTTGGCTATATTGTCTTGTTTTCCTCTGTTCTTGGAATGAAATTAAAATATTTTAAGTTGACTTGAGCAGCTCCAGTGCTGTGGTTTGAAGACTATGCAACATTATTTCCACATCTTCCTGTCATAAGATTTCATCTAAAGGAGCCAGGAAACATCTCATATTACCACTTTAGAGATGGATTGTTGAGCTAATCTATTTAGAAAAATACCATGGTGGTGGCTTCTTAAATCTGGCAGAGAAGTAATGTAGAAAACTTAACTCTTAGTCCATTTTAGAAACCTTTGGTAAAGATGATCTGTAATGTGCTTGAAGAGGCAGTCTTCTCTCTTGGCAAAGCCACTGTTGACTTTTGAGGGAGTTTGGCCCATCAAATGTCTCTGTGACTGGAGAAGAACGCAAATAACTTTAATCAAGTTCCACCATCCAAGATGACTGAACTTCCTCAGTTTGGGTCTGACTTTTTTTTTGTGAAAGGCTCTCATATTGCTTAAATAATATTCTAAAGGGCTCTTGAAGCTCCCCACGCATAGTTTTTTTATCTAATAGAAAGCTTTTTGCTTTCAATTCATCCGTCCCCAGCATCCAGCACATTTGATTATGCAAGTCTTCAAATAACAAGGTTTCCCTCAAGGTAGACGATAAACAGTAAAAGCCTGGAGTAGTTAGTTGGTTATGTGAGATCCAACAAGGGAACCTAAACACAGGGCTGGTCAAGACATGACAGTTTTGTTGCATTTTTTTCACTTGACTAGGATTGGATGATGGGCATGTCTGATGTATTTGCAAGGTTTTTTCTTTTTCTATTTAGTTTACTAGGGCAGCAATACCCTGAGGTTTCCTGATTATAAGCAAGAGTTTCTGGGTGATGCAGAAGAACTTCAGTTTACAGAATGGAAATTAATGTACAGATTTTTTTTTAAAACTATAAAAGATGGTGACATACCAGTCTATTCATTTAAAGACTTTACTACATAGAAGAGGACTAGGGAACCCCTATGAAGATCAAATAACTATAGAAGAGTTATAATAAGCTAATAAGTTAATGATGGTATATCTGTAGTCCTGGATTTAGAGTCAGTTTGAGATGAAAGAAAAACTCTTTAAGTCTTGTTAGATTTACTAATCTAAGTTTGGTTCTGGTTTTGCATAGATGAGATGATGGTCTTGCCTGATACAAATGATACTGAAAAATGCCACTAAGTATAGTGTACCCTGGAATTTACTATTTTTCCCAGTTAGGGCAACCTCAGAATAAATTAGTTCTGCATTTGAAAAGGTACATAGGAACCTTTGTATGTGTGCATGTGCCTTTATAGATATGTTACATATTGATAATTGCATATATACCTTCTGGATTAAGAGCAGCATAATTAATCAGTTGAAGCAGAAAGATGCAGCTACTCTCTATTAGTGCTAAAGAGGCAGAAATTCAATTTGAAGACACTAAAGAGTAGGGTGATGAGTTTATTATGTACATGTAGTCCTGTTCTCAACTGCTCTTGTAGTGTCTAAGGCTTATGCTTTTTTTCAGATCCCAGTCCTGGAAGAAGATGAGCTGTATCTTCAGAAATTCAGGAGGGCAACCCCTGTGTTCCACTATAAAAAGATTGAGAAACTCCCAACTTAAACAGTTTTTCAGTGTAGCTTTCATGAGGGAGGAAGGAAGGGAGAGAGAATGAATAAAATAAAAACTATAAATATACATATTTATAATAATATTTAAGTATATAATAATAATACAATAAATTATAAATATTATATAGAGATATATATATATAATATAAATAAATGAAATAATACAATTGCTAAAGAATTGGTTCTCAAAAAAGTGTGTGTTTTGAGAACTGATTCTTTAGCAGTTGTATTAAGTTTTTGTTTTTAATTCCAATAGCCATGTTATGTTTTTAATACATCATGTAAGTAAGAATGATGTATTCGTTGCATAACTGCCTTTAACAATGGACTAATTGTCAATGGGGACCTTTTTTCTCTTCCAGATCACCTACCATGGCAGGAGGATTGTTTGCTATGGACAGAGAATACTTTAATGAGCTTGGACAGTATGACAGTGGCATGGATATTTGGGGAGGTGAAAATCTGGAGATATCATTTCGGGTAATACTGTCTTTTATGTTTATAGTTGGGTATTCTTCTTCTTTCTTTCCTCTTCTCTAGGCAGAGATTCATTAGCACTGGAATAGCGATTGAATGTATTGAATTTGTGTTAGAATTTTGCCCGGTAAGAGGGCACTTTCAGTATATCAAATATTTTTAGTATTGTTAAAAGTAATTAGAAGATGATTTGTAAGTGGAAGATCAGAGGGAGTTTTTTCTAATGTCTGACAGCTCTTTTGTTCATTTTAGAGCTTTTCTTTGTTGAGGCTTTTCATGCAGCATCAGAAGTGACACTTCAAAATAATTTTAGAACCATTAAAGTTGACAGAGGCAGATGTAGGCACATATAATACCTGTGATTATTTTTAACTCATTTTGTGAAATTCATTGGACTTAACACCTATGGTGAGCCCCTGAATAGAAACAGGTTTATTTACTTTATATTTCTCTACACACCAAAGGACTTTACAAACCCAACAAAATCTGTTCTAGATGATAGGTACAAAACCACTTCATGATTATTCAAAAATGTAGGCTCAGTGGGACTGGAGAGAGGGAAAATGGAACAATCAGTAGGTTTCCCATAGTTATTTAACTAGCATTGCTATATTTTGTGTCCTTTTTGCATTTTATATGTGAAAATAAACTACATTTAAAGTTGTTTTTTTTTGAGTAGTAGTTTCATTGTCACAACATTGTTTTTTACAGTTCAGTAGGTCCATTGATTTGGTCATTAAATATGGGCAAGTATCTGGCAGGGCTCATTAACAAAGCCATCTACTGGCAAATGTTTTTAACCTCTACAAAGTCAGTAACAGATATACTTGAAAGAAACCCTTTCTGCAAATAGAGTCTTTCTATGGGCAAAGGAGGTAGGAAGCACATATGAGAAAGGGCATTGTAGGCTGGAAAGCAATGACTTTGGAAAGACATTGGAAGTTATGATGACTTGATTGCTAAATATGAGCTCCCAGTGCGATGCTCTGACTACGGTCATTGGTGGTAGAATGGCAGTAGGCAGATAATAGTCCAGAGAGGCAGTACTGAGGCCATTACTGGAATACTACCCCCAACTGGGAAGTCTGTACATGACAAGAAACTGGAACTGAAAAGAGCTTATAGGGATGATTCCAGATCTGGTAACCCCCTGCTTTCCAATGAGAGGCTTCAGAAACTCAGTCTGTTCATCTTATCTGAGAAAAAGGTAAGAGCTGACTTGACTGGAGTCTTAAAGTAGCTGATTAGGAAGAAGATGTCTGAGAGGGGAGAGCTCTTTGGCCTAGCAGAAAAATCCAGCGGCTGGAAGCTGAAACTAGTAAAATTCAGAGTCAAAGTAAAGGGACCATTAAAATAAGATTGGCTATCTTTCAAAGTCCGGTGTAATTCAGTCAGGAGTTCTGGACTTGATGCAAGAATCACTGGCTTGTGGTTGATGTTATGCAGGAGATCTGACCAGATCATCGTAATGGCATTTTTTGGCCTGCAATCTAGTAATGTTACTTTCCAGAAAGAAGGTCAGGTAGAATAACCATGTTAACATTTAGTACCTTTTGGCTTTCTTTGGGAAGGCTGTTCAGGAGGTGTATATAACATGCATACAGCCCATGTGGGAAACCCACCAAACTACTACCACTTGTGAAGATTTAACATAGTTTGTTTAATAGAAATTGCCTTGTTAAAGTGGAGAAGCATTGTAATTTGGGGACATTTTAAGTGTGTAGGAGTTTGGCTAATGATGACATCCTTTTCTCCAGGTTATAATGTCAGGGGCACTACAACAGTAGTAGCAGAGGCCATAGTTAAGGTTACACGAGAACATCTGTTGTGTCAGCGAGCCTGTACTTGAAAGTTACACTAGGATTTCTGTGCTAGTTGAAGGAACTATTATAATTGCACTAGTAAAAGCCCTTGTATATAGATACAGCTTTACCAGTAAGAAGGTGCCTTCTAACAGAGGAGTTATTCTCTTATCCAGGAAAAATCACATTTATTCTGGTGTAGCTGTTCACATAGATGGTACACTATTTTGACTGCATTTGTTCTTAAACCTTTTAGTGTAGACAAAACCTAACTTCTTTTTAGTCATTCATAACTTTCTAAAACGTTCACATTTGGCCTTAAGAGGTCCATTGCAGGGCTTTTGTCTGAAGATTAAATATTAAAAACTGAGGAAGAATATTTTGGCCGCTTTTAAGTAAAAAGAGAATGAAGAAAATATATCTTGTTATTTAAAAAACACACACAAACAACCACCCCCTTCCCAAAAATAACTTGCCATTTTTTATTTTGAACAGCTTGGAAAATGGCTGGGAACTGATAGAGATGATTGGACATGGAAATTGCCCTGTTTTAAGCCCTGCCTGAGGAAACTGGTTTGGATTTAGCTTGTTTCAATGAGCTTTTGAAAACAGAGCAGTAAGCATGTACAGTACGGCCCAGCTATCATCCCCTACAAAAATGAGCCTTTTACGGGCTATAAAATGATGCGTCTTCTGCTTCTGTGTGGACAGATCTGGATGTGTGGGGGCAGACTACTAATCATCCCTTGCTCCAGAGTGGGACACATTTTCCGTAAGAGGCGCCCATATGGCTCCCCTGGGGGGCAGGACACCATGGCACACAACTCTCTGCGTCTGGCACATGTGTGGATGGATGACTATAAGGTAAGAGGTGGCTAGGGATTGAAATGGGAGTGGTCCACTGAAGTGTATGGGTACTTCCTTGGACCTCCAGCCTCTCTGTCCCCTAAATGTGCCAGTCAGTTCCTCCCCAACCATGAAGTGTTAGTGAGGATGGTAAGACTGAAGAAGATCCCTTCAGTGCTTCAAACACTGCTCCAGGCCTCTGTTCTCTGCCAGCACTGCTGCAGGTGTCCTTTATCTGGTGCCCTGTTAGTCGGGTCTGGTTTTTATTTTTTCCCAGGTAAGTCTGACCCCTTGGGTCTCCTTAGTCCTGGGGGTGGTCAGATGGGAAATTCATAGATCCATAGATGTTAGGGTCGGAAGAGACCTCAATAGATCATCGAGTCTGACCCCCTGAATAGGCAGGAAAGAGTGCTGGGTTCAGATGACCCCCGCTAGACTTCCTAATGTCCAGTCTAAATCTGCTCTCTGCTAGCTTGTGGCCATTATTTCTTGTAACCCCCGGGGGTGCCTTGGTGAGTAAAGCCTCACCAATTCCCTTCTGTGCCCCCATGATGAACTTATAGGCAGCCACAAGGTCGCCTCTCAGCCTTCTCTTGCGGAGGGTGAAGAGGTCCAGGTGCCCCAGTCTCTCCTCATAGGGCTTGGCCTGCAGGCCCTTAACCATACGAGTGGCCCTTCTCTGGACCCTCTCCAGGTTATCCACATCTCTCTTGAAGTGCGGCGCCCAGAATTGCACGCAGTACTCCAACTGCGGTCTGACCAGCGCCCGATAGAGGGGAAGTATCACCTCCTTGGGTTCTGTTCGTCATGCATCTGCTGATGCATGCTAAAGTGCCATTAGCTTTCCTGATGACTTCGTCACACTGACGACTCATGTTCATCTTGGAGGTTAGACTGGGAAATTGTACTGTGTTTGTATGCGTTGCTCTGTACCTTCCAGGTTCTGATTCTGCTTTTGAGTCCAAGATTTCAGCAGGCTATTTTGCTTCTTGATGCCTCTGGTACCATTTTCCCCTCGACCCCTTAAAAGCTGTTTCGTGCTTGCCACTTGTGCTCTGCTATCTGCAGTTTATATCTGGGTTTACAGCACTGTGCATGGGTGCTTTGCTGATCTGCCTCAACAACCTGGTTTACCTTGATGCTCTAGAAGTGTTAGATGCTTTTTAAAGCTTCATCCATTTCATCTCCATTTTCCAGCATTTCAGTACATTATCCTGTTTGGCACTTTGGTGCCCTTTCATCACCACTTTGGCTTATTATGTACAGTTAATGATGGTTTTCCTGGAGGCTTTGGTTTGCTTCATGTTTTGTTCCCAATTACACTGTGCTGTTTGAGAAGGCCTCTACATGCTGATTCTAACAGGGTTTTACCTTGGATCTGTACTTCGGCCTTGTGTTGGCTGTTGAGTCCTTCAGCTGTTTCTAATCTTGTTCTTGGAAACTAGCCAAGGTTTCATTCTTTCATTACGGCAAACTTAGGGGTGAAGGATAGGTCTAGAAATATTTCCTTCTGTTTAAATATAATGAAACTGTTTAGTCCCAGGATGATCTTGACTTTGTCACTGTAGGATGAATTCCCCAGAGGTATGAGTTGTATAAGTGACCTGTTTTCTTCTGGTTTGTAAAATAATTTGGCAGAGAGAAAGCGAAATAGTTACATTTACATTTTATCTTTACATTTGTGGACAAATACAATTTATACCTCTTCGGTGTGAGATTCAAATACACAACGCAAAAGTAAGACACCATAGTTGCATCACTGAAGGAAAAAGGAAGAGTTAAACTACTTTACAACTTTTTTAGATAGAACAATAATACACAATTAGACATTTCATACAAAATTTTACCTAATGTATTCCTGTGTGAATGCACCATTACTTTATCCATGGTCAGTGTGTGAGGCTTGTGTTAGTTGTCATCTTCTTCCTTGTTCCTGGCACAGAAATTTCAGTGATAACGTCACTGTGCCTTATAACCCACTAAAATCTCAGGAATAGCAGATACATAGTCTTTATTTACAGTATCAGAGATGAGTCCTGAAAATGAAAATAAGCTCACATCATTTTCACCAGCAAATTCTACCCATCGTGTATAATATGGAGCCATTCAACAAAGTGTCAGGGTTCTGGGCTCATTGAATATGCATTCTTTAAACTTCTTTATTATTATTCTTTATTTTACGTACAATCCCAGTCTGGGATTTGAAAATCAACCTGGGAATTGTTTTCCATGTATCACCAGCAAATAAGGTTTTGCAAACCATATTATGCCAGTTGAGGAGTTACATCGGTTCCTTTGCATTTTTGGTGGGGTTATATGCAGGTTGAACTGAGGGAATATCTGAGCCTGAATCCAAGTCTTTCCCACGCCATCACATACTTCTTCACTTCGGGCGCAACCAAAATGCAGCCTGTAGGATCTTCATTACTTGCGCTGAGGCTTGAGAAAGAATGAACCCTGTTTAACTGAGAATCCAGATTAAAGGCATGATCCTGCAAGCACAAGTGAAAACATTTAGTTGCATCCATAGTCCCATTGAAATCCAGAAGAATAATTGTACAATTAAGGTTATCCATAACCACGTTCATTTGCAGGAAGATACCCTGGAAGAGGCTCATAGGGGGACTTTTGGCTCTTTCATAAATGTTTGGTATTACAATTAGTGGAGCATGATAAGCATTGGAATTCCATAATTACATCGTTAGAGTCAGTTTTAAAGAGAAGAACTAATATATTTGGTCAGTAGCGAAGTGGAACGCTTGTGTAGTTTGCGCTACGTGCTGGAATAGGTGGTGTTAAAACTGAGTACCAGACAGATGGTAGATGGTGCTGATCTGCTTTCTTCCCTGATTTCTGTTTGATGTAGGAACAATATTTTGCCCTAAGACCTGAACTAAGGATCAGAAGCTATGGAAACATTACTGACCGTGTGGAGTTGAGGAAAAAATTGAACTGCAAGTCATTTAAGTGGTATTTAGATAACATCTATCCAGAGATGCAAGTGTCTGGGCCCCATGCCAAAGCTCAGCAACCGGTATTTATTAATAGAGCACAAAAACGACCAAAAATAATCAAACGTGGAAGGGTAAGATGATCAACTTCTTTAGAAACCCCTGGTTTCTTCCTTTTTATGTGGTTTTGAAACTTATTCTTAAAAAATGCACCCAGAATCAAGTAAAATGGGCTGTATTCATAGCAGATGTGGTGGTGACTGTATGTTGCAAAGCTTAAAAAAAAAATCTAAAGTAACTAATATTTTTCTTGAAGTCCAGAGATGAAATGAAAAAGCTTTAAGGCTCCATAATGTGTTTCAGGTCCTCTTTTAGGTGATTCAATATTGAAGCAGTATCTTGTCGTATGGGGAGGGTGCTTAAGTATTGACGTTCAGGTGGGCTGCCCTCATGCTAACTTGAGCTCCTGAGAATAAACTTTGGAAAGAGACGAAAGTCTGGAAATGTCATTCTTTGTTCAGAACTGGCATACAATGTCATTAGCTTTTCTAATTTAATGCATTTATTGGGCAGTTTCCCTTTCAAAAATTGAAATGATCATTTTTGTAGAAAAGTGCCTCTTGCTCAACCACTAACAGTTGAGGCAGGATAAGGAATTTTGCTCCTTGCTTTGTTTTACAAAGCAAGTCATGAATGTTTTGTGCTAGTGGGAATTTTAGCTAGAATAGCCACCAATGCTGAATAAAACTTTTGAAAATGTTGCATGGGTCATCTCCTAGTAGGTAGACTTTGGTTTATTGCTTTTATCCAGATCCAGAAATAAGTAGAATTGCACCTGCCTTTACCAATGCTGAATTATTTTTAATTTTTAAACTTTCCCAGAAATAAAGAATAACTTTAGTTCCATAGACTATGTACGAGTGTTCTCTGTGTGAAAGAGACCCAGAGGACATTCAAATAAATTCTTATTTTATGTGTGTACAGGAAGGAACCTCTTATTAATATTCATGAACTGATTCAATAAGCTTGTGCCTACCTCCTATCGGGACATAGCCTGCAATATTTAGTGGTACTTCTTTACAAAACTATGAAACTTATTTGTAGATCCCCAGTTATTCAGGGTGATCCGTGCTGGAGAACATCTATTTCTGTGCAAAACTTGTTGAAATAGTATTTTACGCAGAAGGATCTTTGGGGCGGTCTACAATGTGTGCATTTTCATTTTTAGTTTAGAACTGAGTTGGGCCAAAATCTCTTTAAAAATCAAGGTCCTGGTTTGTTCCTTATCAACTGATTGAATTGGGAATCATAGGAAAAGAGGGTTGGAAGGGACCTCAGGAGGTTATCTAATCTAGCCCCTCCTCAAAGACCATCCCCACCTAGATCATCCCAGCTAAGGCTTTGTCAAGCTGCATCTTAAAAGCATCGAAGGATGGAGATTCCACCACCTCTCTAGATAACCTGTTCCAGTGCTTTACTACCCTCCTAGTGAGAGAGTCTTTCCTAATATCTAATCTAAACTTCCCTTGCTGCAACTTGATCCCATTGCTCCTTGTTCTGTCATCTGCTGCCATTGACAATGGCCTAGATCCATCCTCTTTCAAACCCCATTTCAGGTACAGGCAGTCCTCAGACTTACGACACAATTGTTTTTTGAAAACCTCGTCTTAAGTCGAAACGTAGTAAGTTGGAACCAATTTTCCCATAGGAACAATGTTATCAATGGGGGATTGGTTCCTTTATGAAGACGGACTCCGCTGTGTCCAGCTGGTAAGTCTGCTGTGGTGGGGAGAGGGAAGGGGCATGTGGGGGGCAAGATCAATGACCCCGCATTGAGGGAAGGACTGGAGCTGGGGCTGGGACGTGGGCTGGGGCAAGCACTGCCCAGCTGGGGAGGGCGTAGGGTGGCTCCTGCTGCTGCACACTGCCAGTCCAGGAGGGCATGGGGGGTGTGTGCAACCGGATCTGCATGGGGTGGGCGGGGCTGGGAGTGGGAGCTATGCCCTCCCACTGCTCGTTCAGCTGGGCTGGGGCAGGGGGGCATGGGATGGAGCCTCTGCACTGCCTCTGGACGAGCAGCGCGCAGCAGCAGGAGCTGCCCTGGCCTCCCTGCACCCCCCTGCCCTGGCTGGGCCAGTGGCAGCAGGGCATATGAAGTGCATGTGCCCCCTGGATCAGGGCAAGGAGGGCAGCAAAGTGGGGGCTGCAGCCACCCTAAAATTTGCCAGTAGCACCCCGCCCCCGTAGATCCGGGAGCACATGCCCCCCCACCGCTTGCCCAGCTGGGGCAGGCAGGGGTGAGGGATGGAGGCATGGGGAGGTTGGAGTGGGTCCCGCCATTGCGTGTCGCTCATCCAGAGGCCATGCAGCGGCTCCATACCGCGCACGCC